AACAATGAGAGGAAAATTAAAGCAGGCCCCTCAGTTTTCCATGAATCCAACCAACTGAGGTTTCATTGTTCGAAGCTTTTCTAAAGAATGGACAGGAAGTTCCGGCGAACCGAAGAAAGTACCAGAACCCCGGATTGTTCCCCGGGGTTGTCTCCACCATGGAGTAAGTCATTATTCCGATCTTTGGGTCAAACCAAAGTTCCTAGTTGGTAGGGGAGAAAAGGACAGAAGGAGGCAGTTTAAGACACTCTTTCTTTAAATGTTTTTTACTGATTTTTAGAGAGAGGAAGGGAGAGGGATAGATAGAAACACCCAGAAGAGAGAAACCTCATTGATAGGCTGCCTCCTGCACGCCCCCTTCTGGGGATGGAGCCTGCAACCTGGGCATGTGCCCTGACCAGGAATTGAACCATGACCTCCTGGTTCATGGGTCAAAGCTCAACCACTGAGTCACCTGGCTGCCCAGCACTATTTCTGACCCACTCATCCTATCAACAGCCAATGTTTGCCTCTCGCCGCCTCCTGGGTGCCAGGCACAAGCAAGTCCATGCTCATCCCCTGGCTCGCTCCGCCCCCGAGGCCGGGCTCTGCGGGGCACAGCGGGACGGCCAGGACACTGCCAGGCACACAAAGGCCTCAGGGCTGGTCATGAAACCGCTTTCTGTGTCCTCAGGAAATCTCACTTGAATGTGTCTTCTAACACAACGAAAGGGAGGAACACCTGGTGCCTTTTATCCACACAAGCCCTGGCTCTGAGAATAAACCAGCGTGTGAGGCGGCCGTAGCCTGTGGTTGGTCCCGAATTGGGAGCAGGCCCGCGGCAGAGCCGCGTGGGGAGGGGACAGAGGCGGCAGGAAGAGGCTGCTGCCCTGGCTTCTGCTTTTGCTCCTCGGAGGCGGGCTCCCGGAGGTTTGGGCCCATGTCCTCGGCCACGAGGAGGAAGAGGGGGGCTTCCGGCTCTGCTCGCCCCTCCTCCCCAACAGCGGCTTTCTGGAGAGACAAGCGACAGCTGCGACCGGACGGGAAGTGCGGCTATGTCCACATTCTCCACTCGCCACCCACCCTGTGTTTCTAATTAGGGGTCACTGCCATCTCCGCACGCGTTCAGGGGACCTTTAACACACCCGAGCACTATATAAAGACCCCAGCCTGCTGGGATTCGCATCAGCAGTTACAAGGTTTTTCTTTTCTTTTTCTACGTCGGTGAGGAAAATGGAGGACCTTACTTGCAGGTTTAGGATTGTAAAGATCTCCCTCCCTGTATCCCCCAGACACGGCCACTGGTCAAGAAGGGAGCTGATGCCGAAACTGGTTTGGCTCAGTGGATAGAGCGTCGGCCTGCGGACTGAAAGGTCCCAGGTTCAATTCCAGTCAAGGGCCTTGGTTGCAGGCACATTCCCAGTGGAGGGTGTGCAAGAGGCAGCTGATCAATGTTTCTCTCTCATCGATGTTTCTAACTCTCTATCCTTCTCTCTTCCTCTCAGTAAAAAAATCAATAAAATATATGGAGGAGGAGGAGGAGCAGGAGGAGAAGCAGGAGGAGGAGGAGGAGGAGGAGGAGGAGGGAGCTGATCTCTCTTGGTACCCCAAAGCCCTCACATTTGACCGTTCAAGCAACTGAACCTTCCAATTACTTAGAAACTCCCCAAAACATCTGCGGCATATGTAACTTATAAGGCCCACAGCTTTTAAGAAATGTTTTGCGGTCCAATTAGTTTCAGAAGTAAACAGGAGTGCTGAGAGACAGGGAGATGGAGGGGGCGAGAGAGTAGGAAGGAAGGAATGAAAGTGGGGACTTCCGGACGACTGGCCACACGCAGCCCCAGCCCTGGAGGCCCCCTCGGAGGTCAGAGGTCACGGCCACAGCTGGCTTCCCAGCAGCCGTAGGAAGAAGAGCTGGAAAACATGACTTCCTGGCTTCCCTCTGCGGCTCAGGATGCCAGTCCTCTGCCCTCTGCAGCTCTGCCTGCCAGCAAGCTGCTCTGCTCTGTCCTGCACTGTCACCCCTCCCCCTCCTCTCCCTATCTCCCTCCTCCCCCCGCCACACACGCTGCTGGTTCCTTCCCATCAGCAACTATGTGTGCTAACACTTCCCACCTTTAAACAAAGAAAAAAGGACCCGTGAGCCCATGTCATCCTTCAGGGACGACATCCCTCTATCCTCCTCGGCCTCCCTCATCGCTACCCACTTCTACCGGGCCCCTCAGTCCACTGCAATCTTGCTCCTGAGCCTGCCACCAAGTTCACAGCCACCCCCACCTGCAGTCTCCTTTCACTCACCCTTCAGCCAACTTTAAAGCATCCACGTATGAAAAAACGGGGTGTTCCACCCTCGGCAAACACCGGCACCTACGAGAGCCATGACTCAGGTACGCGGTGTCACAAGGACAGGAGACCCCCCCCCCCCAGCCCTCTGCGGGCAGGAGTACCGCCACCAGCCCCTCCAGACAGAGAGCCAGGCCGTGAGAGGCGAGGGGGGGGGAGCTATTTCAGAGAGGGATGCAGGAATCAGGACAATAAATGAAGAAGTTTAGCAAATAACCCTCAGCCCCTGCCTAAGAGTTATAACATTAAATGTTCATAAGCAAACACTGGGCATCTTTTACTTGTAGCAGCATCGGGGCCTGTGCCCATGTGAAAGCGGCTGTGCTGCCCGGCTCAGCACCCATCTGGTGCCCAATGTGACTGCGTGGGACAGAGCGCTCCCCGGCGACGGGACAGGGCGAGGTCGCCACCACCCTCTCCGTGGCCCAGCCACCGTCAAACTCCTGCCATTCCGGTCCGGATGCTGACTTCACTCAAAACTCCGGATGAAAGCAGCTCCCCCCACTGCCCTTGAACTCGGGGCCAGGCCTCTGGGGAGCCAGCTGTGGGTCTAGAAGAGCCCGAGGTCAGCACGGCGACACGGTCGGCCCCCGGAGAGGGCTTCGGAGGAGCCCGCCCTCGGCCGGCGCGGAGGCCGGTAATTGCCAGGCCGCCCGGAGCCCGTGCCTGCTCACCTTCCGCGGCGATGCCGGCGCTTATTCATTTCACTCCTCTGACACGGCGCCCTCCACCCGAGCTCGGTGTTGGGAGGAAATGATAGGGATGGATGCTGCTCCCGTCAGACCCGCCGAGACGCCCAGCGAGCCAGACGGCCAGAGGCCAGCGCTGCCACCAGCAAGCGTCCGTGCCGACCCCGAAGGCTCAGTGGGACGGGAAGGACACAGACCGACAAGAGCAGAGCAGGAAGATGGGGCCCGCAGCCGGGGTGACCCCAGCAGGAGCCCCCCAGAGCCAGGCCTGCCCCACGCACGGTGCTGCTTTGTGCCTAACTCGTCAGGAGACACTGGCTTCTCACACCGGGAGCAGGTTTATCAGCTTCCCCAGGAGCTCCGGGGCACAAAGCCACACCTGATGGTTCCACTCCATGACAGGCGCTTTGAAGTCCGGCCGCGGGAAGGCTCAAATCTCTGTCCCAAAGGATTCCCTCGTCCTTCCACGTTTAAAATGTTTATAAGCTTTCAAACAGCGGGAGGGGAACACGGAGCATTTTAACAGGCTCCTCCCCTCCCAACGGGCCGGTGCGGCTGACCCCCCACACCCGGCACCGTCCTCAGCGGGGCGGGTCCTGCCCCCCACCCCTCAGCCTGGGGCAGCTGGCAGTTTCTGGACACACTTTTGGTTGTCCTGTTTGGGGGCTGGTGCCACTGGCATCTATAGGTAGAGGCCAAGGATGCTGCAAAACTTCCTGTGATCACGGGACAGCCTCCCAGCACAGCTATGTGGCTATCCCGCCCCACACGCCCATCATGCCGAGGCTGGGACCCTGCCGCGGGGCTCCTGCCGGGCCAGGCCTGGCATCCCACCCCTGGGAGCCAGACACTCATCTGATCACCCTGGCAGGCTTCCTGTGCTGGCTACGGAGGCCTCCTCTATGTAGTCTTGGTGCACCCTCTCAACGAACGAGCACAAAACACTGTCGCCCTGACTGGTCTGGCTCAGTGGATAGAGCGTCGGCCTGCGGACTGAAAGGTCCCAGGTTCGATTCCAGTCAAGGGCATATACCTTGGTGGCAGGCACATGCCCAGTAAGGGGTGTGCAGGAGGCAGCTGATCGATGTTTCTCTCTCATCTGTGTTTCTAACTCTCTCTCCCTCTCCCTTCCTCTCTGTAAAAAAAAAAAAAAAAAAAAAAAAAAAAAAAAATCAATAAAACATATTTTAAAAATAAAAATAAAATGCTATTGTAAACAACAAGAAGGAAGTAGGACCACTTGGGAATCTCAGAATCCAGGACCAGGGTCACTGTTTACTAAACCCTCTGATGTTCCTCTGCATGTCTTAAAGCTCCACCCCAATCGGAGTTTATTTATGGAAACTACAAAAGAACCAGTTCCGGCCATCAGTGCTACTGCCCCACCCCCGACATCTGCCGGAAAGCATGGCAAGAAGGGCCGCTAAGCGGTGGTGGTGTGTCAGTCAGAGCGCTGACCTGCCACCCCCAAGGACGGGGCTCTGTCGCTTCACTTCCCGGAGCTCGGTCTCCTCACCAGCAAAGCGGAGATGCACCACCGGCCCTCCCCGTGCAGCCGTGAGCTACATGAGCTGCTGGGAGGAAACTGCTGGAAGCGGGAAAGAGCTGTGCGATTGTATGTGACATGTACACGTGGGGGACACCCTCTGACAATCACCAAGGGCCTTTCAGACACTTGGATCCTTTTCATGAAACGTCACAGCGAGAAGTGACTGGAAATCAATGAAGCCAACCCGCGGGTCTTACAGAAGGTGAGGATGAGCATCCCAGAGGCCGGGGCCTGGGCCAGGGGCCGCCGGACAGGTGCAGGCCCCTGACCCCCAATCCAGGACACGCCCTGCCTGCCCCCTGGCGCTGTGCCCGCCCTGCTGAGGGTCCTGGAGGGAAGAAACACATCTCACACACAGGCTCAGAGGGCCCGGAGCACAGGAGGCGGCGATCTGCGGAATCCGTGAACAAAAGGGAGGAAGCGGGATCCAGACTTACTACGTCGTAGCCCGTCGGGGCTCGGTTCCGGGAGGCCACCACCCCCACTCCGGTGATGGGGTCCATGGACGTCTCCGGCAAGGCTTCCGACAGGTCTCTGACTTCCGGCATGGTGGACTTGTCCTGGTTCCGAAAAGGAAGAGAAAGCACAGGATTCACACTGAGCGCTCGCCGCGAACAATGCAAAGTCTCATGCAGACTGAGTGGCCTCTCCGGCCGACACCCTGAGCTCCACTTCCTGAGAGCGCGCAGGAGCCCTGGCCCCACCTGGCTCTTTCCTCGGAGCAAGAATTCGAAGCATCACTGGCCTCTGCTTGTCTCAAGTTAGCTCTGAACACCGAGCTAACACACTTAATGAGGGCTTGTCCGTGCCCCGAGTATGTATGTAATTTAAACTCAGACCCAAAGGCACACCACTCTCCAATCTCCCATCTAGCTGCCTGACTTCTGAACAGACACCAGGAGCCTCTCTGAGGATAAATCAGACTTGACCAAGTCTACCCCCACCTTGCATTTCTCTCCCTTGTACAAGTTCCTATGGAGGTGCAGGCTGCCAACCCTATAGCCTCTGCCACCGCCAAGGGGGGCCGCGCAGTAGACAGGGCTTTGCAAACACACACCTGCGAGACAGTCTCCAGCATGGAGGCAAAGGAGTGGTCAGGTCCAGGCCACGGCCTTGAGCAAGCACGGAGCCTTGGCACTGACCGTCACAGAGCTGCCGTGAGAGCCAAGAGTCACGTGAAGGAAGGTCCTGGAGAGGTCCCTGGCACACAGTAGGCCCTCAACAAAGAGCAGATGAGGCTGGTGGGGTTGGGATACACACGTCCAGTGTAAATTACCAGGAACGTGGTAGGCACTGGAAGGTTTAATCCCTTTTCTGTGTTTAATCCTGCAGGGCATGGGCGTTGACTCAAAGCTAAACACAAACAATGACCATAATTCTTGCTGGGCACTTTGGGAAAAAGGGAGGGGAAACAGAATTATTATTCTGCCGCCGACTGCCCCTTGATGTGACCAGAGGAGAGAAGCAGTATATAGAGAGCACTGGGTCTGGGCAGCTCCAGTGGCAGTGCACCAGAAAGCAAATAAAAGAGGTAACACCTTATGTAAATGGCTTTTAGTACTTTTAAAAGGACAAGCCTCGAAAAAGAGCAAGTTACATTCCACCTCCTTCTGCAGCAATTACGTTCCACTGGCTGCAGGTCTGCCAGATCCCTCAAGGCTGGTTACAGCTTCTAAACAAATGGAACACTCCGCCTGCCCAGGCAGGCAGGAGGGATAGTCTGAGCTCTCAGCCGAGAATCAGAAAAGGCAGAGGCTATTAAAAACGAGTGTGCCTCCTAAATAGGAACAACCAAAATGCTACATGCAGGTCCCCCACGTAATCAGCATCGCAGGACCCCACAAAAGGCTACGGAAGCAGACTTAATGCAATGCAGCCAAGTCTCCAATCAAGGTGTTTCTTAGCCTGGCAGCTGCTGCACTCCCAGCGTCTGTTTATGATGAAAGCAAACCAAGTCATGCTTAAGTCTGCTGAAAAGAAGCTTCTGGGAGCTCAGGGCAGGGCCCAGGATACCAGGCTGCATCATTTTCTCTTTTTAAAATGTCATTTGTTAGATAGATTTATCTGCATAAAGCACAGGGCCCAGAGCTCCCCACACACAGTAGGTATACAGTACATATTTACTAAATGAATGAATGAACGCCCCCATGCCACGCATGCCCCCAATAGAGAAGGTCTGTCATTCAATATCCGCACTAGCACAATCCAAAGCAAACACTGACCAAAAAGTATCTTCACTTGGAAAATTCCCTCTTCTCGGTAACACAACAACAACGCTGCAGTCTGCAAAATACGGGTACCTGCTGTTGGTGACCAAACTGCTTTGCCATTAACAACTCATTAACAGAATGTACGAGTTCTACCAGCGCTAAAATATCACGCTGTGAATTTAATAAAGAACATGCGAGGTAAGTTTTTTTATTATTATTATTAAGATAGTACTATCTGAAAGAGGAGGGGGAGGGAAGCATGGGAATAAGAGAGAAATATTTTCTTTGCTGATAGATTCCAATATCCTCCACGAGGCACTGACGACAATGGCTCGCTCTGCTCTGGGCGCTGGCAGGTGCAGGCGGGGACCTGCCTGCGGAGGATGCGCTCCCAGAATGCACCGCGCCCGGCAGCCGGTCCAAGATGGCCGCCCCCGCTGCGCAGACAAAGGGCCCGGCCGCGTGGGCACGGCCCGGCCCGCAGGAGGGAGGCCGCGCTGCAGAGCATCCCGCACGCTCGCCTTCGCCTCTCCCCTCCCGGCTGCTCACCCTGGGGATGAAGGCGGCCTTTGTGAAACACAGACAAATGGCCCCGCGCGGCCAGCTGGGCGGCGGAGGAAGCGGCGGCGGCGGCGGCAGAGGAAGCTTTTAATGAGAAACGCCCAGGATAGCCATGGCAGCGGCAATCACTCACGGCAGCTCGCCCCGCGTTACATATTTTCTGACTGCAAATTACTCCTAACAGCGCCTCCGCCGTCACTTCCATTGACCTTCCTAACAAAAGGCCATTTATTAGCTGGAGCTCCCTCTTTGGCGGAGCCCGGGGCCGGGAGGGGCGGCGCCGGCCTGGGAGCGCTCAGCCGGGCACAGGCCAGGCCGGAGGGGAAGAGGCCTGGGTGCCCCCGGCGGGCGAGCACGTCTGCCCGGGAGGGCCAGGGGGTGCAGGGTGCTCCAAGGCAGCATGAGCCTGTCTTGCAAGAGGCGATGCTGCTCTAAAAACACCAACTTCCGGGCTTGCTTGCCACCACTCCCAGTTTCGCCCTCCGCAGCTCCTCACCAGCACCCTCATCTCTCAGTGCACACACTCACACCCCTGCAATGCCCAAGAAGCTTTCTCAGGCTGCTTCTCCACCGATGCCCACTCCAAACGTGGGCGGTGGCTGGGCTGCCTGGTCCCTATTTCACAGGAGAGCAAACTGAGGCCTGGTGTTCTCAGCAGAGCCTAGCAGGACCTCGGCCCTCCTTCCCCAGCCAGGTCTGCTTTCCAGGACACGGTGCAGAGGGACGCCTCCATCCCATCCCTTTCCGACTGAAGGACCAGTTTCCACACTAATTATAGTGAAAACGGAAAGCCCTTCTTTCTCTAGCCACAGCCCGGTCAGTGAAGCAAGGGGGAGAAAAGTACAGCAAGATAAAAGGAACATGGGATTAATTTCCCTCGAACCTCCATTTCAAGACTCAACATCTCCCTCATAAATAATTTACAACAATAAAAATGAGCGAGGGCCGCGTTTGTGCAGGACGGAGGTAAATTTAGTCCTAATGAGGGAGATCCGAGCGCTGCTCAGGAGGGAATAGGTTGATGCATGGTGCGTGCAGGCCGATCGACAGCACACACGGGCTCCGTCACCACGGCAGGTCGCAGGGCCAGCCGCGGGAGGGGGCAATTTGAGGAACTTCTACTACCCCGGCGATGGCCGCAGGAGGGTCTGTACGGTGAAAGCCAAAACCTGACCCAGTATTTTATTAGATGACGGTGAAATTACCGAGAATCACAAGATGGAGCCGGCATGAAACTAAGCGGGTTCTCAGTAAATGCCGGGTAAGGAATGAAGGTGGTGGCGGCACTGGGCCTGGAGAGAGTGTGGTGGCAACACCGACCTGGAGCTCATCCTCCTCATTAAACCTCTCAGGTCCGCTGGTCCCAATCCCCATCCCAATCTCTACCTCCAGTGCCCAGGCAGCCTCCGCCAGATCATGTGCAAGTCTGGGTGTCTGCAGAGCGTGGCTCTGGGCAGCTGTTCCTGTATCTGCCCAGGAGGACTTCTCTGCAAGGCGGGAGTGTGTGTGTGCCTGCATGCGTGTGTGCCTGTGTGTGTGTGTGTGCGCGCACGTGCGTGTGTGTGTGTGTGTGCACATGCCTTGCATGTACATACTAGGACTAGCTGGGGTCCCGTTAGGGTGAGGTGTGTTTTCCAAGCCAGAGGATTTTTTCCAGGCCACCGCTGAGTGGATACGATGCGACAACACGGGGCGGAAGGGGAAACCGCTTCCTGCTGCTGCCTGCAATGCTGCGAACAGGGCCTGGGGGAGGCCCCAGCTCCCAGCGCTGCAGCACCTCGCCCAGGCTGCCATCCCAGGTTCACAGAGAAATGAACTTTAACTAGAAAGCCCTTCATACCCGCGGCACACGGCTCCCTGGTAGCTGATCAAAGAATTACCACCACCGTTTGCTTAATCCCTGGAAGTCAGCGGTGCTGGGCTTAACTGATGCTGAACATTGTTTCAGAATCAAAGGCCTGCCTCCTGGCCGTGGGCTGGGAGAAAACCAAGCTACTGTATCGCAGCTGAAAACTCAGGGGAACTTTGATATCATCTCTGTTTAATTTCCCCGGCCCCGTGAGCCTGGGGTTTATCTCATTTTATCAACTCCTGCACTGAAATCAAAACGCAGCGAACAGAGCTCAGACCTCTCTCCACAGAGGCTCCTTTAGCAGCGGGGTGCAGGCTGAGGGCTTAAAGATGGGGGCCAACAGCTGCGGGGGGGGGGGGGGGGGGGGCAGGGAGAATGCCTTCAAAGGCGGAGCGGCAGGAACCCCGGCTGGGCTTCCCTGCAGCTCAGAAGCAGCGCCAGCCACTCTGCCCGCAAGGGCTAAGGCGTGCCTGGCACACAACTTTGGAGGAGAGTAATTTCTAACTATTGGGGAGGGCGGGGGCGGGGAGAGGGGGGCTGGTTAAATTGGACTACTGTAATTGAAATGACCAAAACAGTGGGTTAATTAAGTCCCCACAGAAGGACGAAACTGCTATCAGCTTGTTTGAAATCCAAAGTCAAGGGCACAAAAGACATAAAGTGTCTGTCCACAGCTACCAGCTTGCAGGGCTAGGGAGGGCGGTGTATACACACTTTGCTCTCTGTGGGAAATGGCCCGAGAGCCCAAGAGCAGGCTCTCACTGCCGAGAGACCATCCGCTTTGCCTGCTCGCAGTGGCAGTGGGGGTCTTCAGGAATCCATGCCCCTCGGTCACTCCACAGTAACGGAGACCTTTCTGCTGCTAAGCTTAAGCAGGGAGCAGAAGGACACACCCCACCCAGTCTTCACCGATGCACACCTCAACACACACCCAGGG